TGAGTGTCATGCAGTGGGACTGGCTTCAGACTCACCAAGCACAGCGATTCCTAAAAGCATCGTTAAAGGTCCTGCTGACCTGTTAGAAGCAGTAGTTCCCCCTGCTGGGGACTGATGGCACATCAGTGAGTTTATAAAGAAGAAATCCTCACAGTGGGAAGTTTTAATGGATTGAACTGGAAGTATTGGGAAAGGAGGCTATGCTAGCACGCTGCTGCTGGTGAGACGGATCTCCTCATCCTTTCCAAAATCTGGCTCCTCTGATCACTTTCATTTTAAAAAGGAGCTAAAAGCAACTAATCGTCCGTCGTCATGTCAACCACCGCTTGTTAGGATGTCACCTTCCTGTAGACTGACTGAGATGGATGTGAAGGTCGTAGAACCTCTGAAACAGAACCGTCGATCAAAAGCCTCTGGAAGTTAGAAACGTTAATTATTCACGTTTTTCTGCCTGATTCAGTTTTTTTTTTTTATGAAGATTGACTCTTTTTTTAAGCAGCTGAATAATTTCATTTGAAACCAGTAAGAAGCAAAATGTTTCAGTAGTTTGTCTCAAACCTTCTGCGGAACTTTTTGCATTGTTTACAATTAGGTTGAGTATATCTACGCTGTGATGATCAGCTGGTTGGTCTCTGTTATAAAACATGGATATGATTTGATTTCTGTTTTCTGCAGAGATGCAGGTTGAATAATAAAGCAGATATCCCAGAGGAGTCTTCCTCAGCCAGTCTCCCACAGCGGCTCAGTTTGCTGGGATGGAAACAGGAAAACCAGGAGCTGAATATGAATCAGGGATATGTAGGCCATGTTGTCCAGGTAACGGGAGCGCTGAGCATCTTCTGGTCCCGGGGGCTGATGCCCGGTCTGCCCGCAGCGAGCAGAGCAGCCGCTGGTTCACCGAATGACCGGTGGGAGCAGGAAGGGATGGAGAGAAATCATAGAGCTATGGGAACAGATTGGGTTTACCTCCACATGTCTGAACCAGCTCAGTGTGACACCCTCCAGAATATAAGGATGATTTATGAAGTAGAAAGGGGTCCTGATTGGAGCCTGCTGAAAGGAAGTGACACGATTGAAGCTCCTCCATCAGCGTGATGCCGGTAGCTTCACTGAGCCGTTCTATTTCTGATGCTGGGATGTTCTCTGGGTTTTCTGAGCAGCGTCTCTCGGGACGCCACCAAACACGGAGCGGCTCATTACGCAGCAGCAGCTTCCAGAACCGCCCGCTATTATTCAGGGATGTAAAAGCCAGAGTGGGTTATGAAGGCATTACACCAAGATTACAGAGGATAGTCTGAGCCGCCAGAGAGTGAGCAAGGAAGATTAGAATAAAAAACCTGGATGCAGATTTACAGATTAAAAAACTCACATCTGTAGCATCCAAGAAGGAGAAGCTGCATGTAGGTCAGCGAGCACCTGCTGGATTCACGAGCCATCCATCGGTAGCGGGACCAGCAGTCCTCCTGCTGAGAGCCACAGGATGCACTGGTTCTACTGGGTCAGCCCCATAAACTGGAACCTGCAATCAATCTGATGACCAGCAGCGTCTATGACTGAAGATGGATGATTATAGAAATGCAGCTGGTTAATAAATACTCTAAATGAACCGTCCTGTGAGCGACGGCAGGATCGTTGTGTCTTTAAAGCAGATCCCAAACAGAGACCTTCTAATCGGGGCAGTTTGCCATCAGCCAGGCTGGCTTAATGGGATTTCCTGGACAGCTGTTTCCAAGATGGCTTTTTCATCTCCAGCTTACTAAGCTTTAATAATCTGCTTTAATAACCGACCAGATGAAGGAGGAGAACCTCCAGTAGATCAGCAGGACCACCAGAGAGGAGCTCATAGATCGACCAGCAAGCATCTACTACAGAGACGTGCTGAGCTAGGAGAGGAGTCTGAGCAGAAAGTCAGGCTCTGGGCGTCTGGAGGCGTAGAGAAAGACATGGCGGTGGCAGAATCAGCCGTTTGAGGGGAACGTTTGCCGCGTTACTGATGTTTGTCTGCAGTTTAAGCCAAAAACCAGACCAGAAAAAGCCTGAAATCTGTTTTATCAAGTTTTTCTGATGCAACGATTTAAAGACATGGAAACTTCCAGGCAATAACCAATGATCACTGAGGGCAGAAAGCAGATAGGCTCCAGAACCTCTGGATCCATCTACACTGTTCCAACAGGAACCAGAACAACATCCATGTTTTCTAAATAAAGACTAACTTTACTTTCCTTCAGCCTTTGCTAACAAACAGACGCAAATGTTTAAACATCCATGCTGTCTAAATTAAAGGTTAAATTCTTTCAACTTTTAGTTCTGGGGCGAACATCTTATTCATCATCTTTACATACCTTCTTTTATCAATAATCACTCTGCAAAAAATATTTACCTGTACTAATATCTACATTAAATTGATTACTTATTATTAAAATAGTTATTTATCTCAGAGGAAGACTCAGAGATACAGACACATCATTTTCTCTTTACTCCACATTAGACAAAATCTAGTTCTGAAAAGAGCAGGAATTTTTTATTTATAATCTTTAAAGTTAGTATATTGATGAGCATAATTAACCACAGGGTTTTTGTTGTCAAGTAATTGTTAATATATGAAGAATCAAAATGTTGAATGAGTTAGAACATTAAACTTGTAACAGTATTGCTGCTGCCACTGTCTGTATTAGAGGAAAGAAATGATAGAGGTGGCCACAGGGGGGGCCAACGATTGGCCATGGCCACCCCTGGCCCCCCATCTACCTCCGCCCAGATGGGGGGGGGGGGGCATCCTCAAAAGGTCAGGAATCAGTAGTACTCTGAGCTCCAGTCTGGTTCCCAGCCACTGGTTTAACTGGTTGTGAACTGTTCCGTGTTTCTGTCAGCAGAGACTCAGCTGATAACTTTGCTTCCCTGTCAGCCTGAGGCGGTTGGTCTCCCAGCAGCAGGTCCTCCTTCCTTTTTCATATAAGGCTCTTCCTCCGCCCTCCTCTTCCTACGGCTTCACCTCCACCAATTAGGAGAGCAGCCTCCAGGAAAAGAACTACAGAAAAACGATGCTCCCCAAATGAAGCTCTCTGTTAAAAAGCATTGGCCTAGTGGTTAGAGCAGAGCGCTGTGCTCTGAGAAGGTTGAAAGTAGCCGGTTCGATCCCCACAGCCTCCACTCTGGGTCCCTGAGTAAGACCCTTAACCCCACACTGCTCACCGGGCGCCGCACGATGGCGGCCCACTGCTCCTCAAGGGGAGGGGTGGAATTCAGAGGTGGATTTCTCCAATAAAGTTCAATCGAAACATCTGAAGGTGTTAGCATTAGCATTAGCACACAGAGAACAGGGAGGGAGTCATGGATTTCTGTTAAACTCCGAGGTGTGCTGTGTCCATACGGCTTTCCCATCAGTTCGTGTTGCATCGGCCAATCAGGGCCTGGATGTAGGCTGGAGCAGCGCAGCGGAGAGGAAGGAGAGCGGGAGCCATGAGGTCTGGATGCTTTTTAACTGTTCAGTCAAAACAGGACCGTCCCCGTCTTTGCTCCGCCTTCCAGGCGGTCCGTCCCTGGAGTAGGATCAGCATCCTGGACAGCTCCTGGAGGCGGGAGCATCTCTGGTGGCGCCGGTGTTCGACTCTCCACATTAAACCCAGCTTCGCCATGAGGAGCTGCACAGATAGCAGGCTAGCAGCGCACTGATGACCTGTGACCTGTTGGCCTGGGGTCAGGTGGTCCTCAGCAGCCAATGAGAGCAAAGAACTGGCCTTGCTGCAGGATAGATATTCATGAAAATGTTGAAAACCATAAACCACATCAGACTAAAGTGGGCGTCTGAAGGCCCCCCCCCCCAGTGCTGGTGTTGTGAAGCAGGGCTCAGTCTAAGCTTCTATCTTGTTCTGATCTGTAGGAAGCTGAGCTAATCAGCTCAGGCTGTCTGCTGAGGTCACTTTATCCTGGTTGAGCTGCTGCCTTTGAAACGCCTCCAAGTTGATCTAAATGTTGACGTCTAACTGGACGGCCTCCCGTATAGGTGCCTGATCGGCCTGATGCTCCTGTCTCCGCTGCTCCTCCATGTTAGACAGACTTCCACTCCTTCCATCTCAGAGCTCATTTCTTCTCCCTGGGTTTCATTCAGTGGAAGACTTTTCTTCTCTTTTAGATATTGTTTGTTTTGTTTTTCAGTTTGTGCAACAATTTGGTGAAACGCAGTTATTGTAAAATGTTTTAAAAAGACAACAAACCTGCTCTGAGTTCTACACTGCAAAAAAAAGAAATCTAAATAAGTAATTTTTCTTCTTGAATTTGAGGAAATAAAGTGAGACACTTTGCCAGACAATTTACATTTAAAATAAGAAAAAACGATTGCATTGTCTTATTTCAAATGCATATTATCTAATGACCTTATTTTAAGAGTAAAAATACTCAATCTACCTGCCCAAATTGAGGCTAAATAAACTTGATTTAAGAAGTCTTAGATCGTTTTTTGCAGTGTGTTACTCAGGTCCATCTGAACTGCTGAGTTTATCAAACCTTGGGCGGCTCTGAGAGCAGCATGCTGCTGCTGCTGATGATGATGATGAGGAGGAAGTTCAGTAGAAACTGGCTGAATGCTGCAGCCCATCCAGCGCTGATGAGCTTCTCTGCTTCACACTCATGCAGAAATGATTTGCATGAATTAGTTTCAGACCAGAGGCTGTCAGGATGATTCACCAGAGCCCCCACCCCCCATACCCCCTGTCCCATTACGTCTTCCTGGGGTGTTTTGGTATTAGTCCTGCATGGGCAGTAGCATCAGGCCCACAAAAGTGGGGGGGTCTGCCACATGCCTCCCTGCACAATTATTCAGTGTGCATAGAAACAACAGCCCCTCCCCCACCCATGCTGGACGCCAGCAGAGCAAACAGAAACACTTCTGATTGTTCCACAGATTTAGACTTCCATGATGTTTGCGCCGTGCATGATTGAAGCGTGGAAGCAGAGGTTGTGGAACATCAGATCCTCATCATCACTTTGATCTTTTCTTTCAGGTTTGCTTAGCGTGTCAGCAGTGGTGTTAAAGACCGACAACCATTCCCCATCCACTGATGAATTTAACAGTAAGTTCAGACACGATGAAAACTGGAAAGCAGCTTCCTCTCCTGACCGGCTGCTTCTTTTCCTTCGCAGAGGTGGAGCTATCATGTTTGATCGAGACCATCTCCACAGCGAACCCCCGGATCGAATGGAAGAAGTTTACAGACGGGAAACCGAGCTACGTTTACTTCGACAAGAGGATTTCAGGTAAGCTGTCCCGACCTCTGCTCTGCTGCTTCTGTCTGAACCTCTGCTTCTGTCTGAACCTCTGCTCCGCTGCTTCTGTCTGAACCTCTGCTCCGCTGCTTCTGTCTGAACCTCTGCTTCTGTCTGAACCTCTGCTCCGCTGCTTCTGTCTGAACCTCTGCTTCTGTCTGAACCTCTGCTCCGCTGCTTCTGTCTGAACCTCTGCTCCGCTGCTTCTGTCTGAACCTCTGCTTCTGTCTGAACCTCTGCTCCGCTGCTTCTGTCTGAACCTCTGCTTCTGTCTGAACCTCTGCTCCGCTGCTTCTGTCTGAACCTCTGCTCCGCTGCTTCTGTCTGAACCTCTGCTTCTGTCTGAACCTCTGCTCCGCTGCTTCTGTCTGAACCTCTGCTTCTGTCTGAACCTCTGCTCTGCTGCTTCTGTCTGAACCTCTGCTCCGCTGCTTCTGTCTGAACCTCTGCTTCTGTCTGAACCTCTGCTCCGCTGCTTCTGTCTGAACCTCTGCTTCTGTCTGAACCTCTGCTCCGCTGCTTCTGTCTGAACCTCTGCTCCGCTGCTTCTGTCTGAACCTCTGCTTCTGTCTGAACCTCTGCTCCGCTGCTTCTGTCTGAACCTCTGCTTCTGTCTGAACCTCTGCTCCGCTGCTTCTGTCTGAACCTCTGCTCCGCTGCTTCTGTCTGAACCTCTGCTCCGCTGCTTCTGTCTGAACCTCTGCTTCTGTCTGAACCTCTGCTCCGCTGCTTCTGTCTGAACCTCTGCTCCGCTGCTTCTGTCTGAACCTCTGCTCCGCTGCTTCTGTCTGAACCTCTGCTCCGCTGCTTCTGTCTGAACCTCTGCTCCGCTGCTTCTGTCTGAACCTCTGCTCTGCTGCTTCTGTCTGAACCTCTGTCTGAACCTCTGCTCCGCTGCTTCTGTCTGAACCTCTGCTTCTGTCTGAACCTCTGCTTCTGTCTGAACCTCTGCTCCGCTGCTTCTGTCTGAACCTCTGCTCCGCTGCTTCTGTCTGAACCTCTGCTCCGCTGCTTCTGTCTGAACCTCTGCTCCGCTGCTTCTGTCTGAACCTCTGCTTCTGTCTGAACCTCTGCTCCGCTGCTTCTGTCTGAACCTCTGCTCCGCTGCTTCTGTCTGAACCTCTGCTCCGCTGCTTCTGTCTGAACCTCTGCTCTGCTGCTTCTGTCTGAACCTCTGCTCCGCTGCTTCTGTCTGAACCTCTGCTCTGCTGCTTCTGTCTGAACCTCTGCTCCGCTGCTTCTGTCTGAACCTCTGCTCTGCTGCTTCTGTCTGAACCTCTGCTTCTGTCTGAACCTCTGCTTCTGTCTGAACCTCTGCTCCGCTGCTTCTGTCTGAACCTCTGCTCCGCTGCTTCTGTCTGAACCTCTGCTCCGCTGCTTCTGTCTGAACCTCTGCTCCGCTGCTTCTGTCTGAACCTCTGCTCCGCTGCTTCTGTCCTAACCTCTGCTCTGCTGCTTCTGTCTGAACCTCTGCTCCGCTGCTTCTGTCTGAACTTCTGCTTTCTTTGTGAACCTCTGCTCCGCTGCTTCTGTCTGAACCTCTGCTCCGCTGCTTCTGTCTGAACCTCTGCTTTCTTTGTGAACCTCTGCTCCGCTGCTTCTGTCTGAACCTCTGCTCCGCTGCTTCTGTCTGAACCTCTGCTCTGCTGCTTCTGTCTGAACCTCTGCTCCGCTGCTTCTGTCTGAACCTCTGCTCCGCTGCTTCTGTCTGAACCTCTGCTCCGCTGCTTCTGTCTGAACCTCTGCTCTGCTGCTTCTGTCTGAACCTCTGCTCCGCTGCTTCTGTCTGAACCTCTGCTCCGCTGCTTCTGTCTGAACCTCTGCTCCGCTGCTTCTGTCTGAACCTCTGCTCCGCTGCTTCTGTCTGAACCTCTGCTTCTGTCTGAACCTCTGCTCTGCTGCTTCTGTCTGAACCTCTGCTTCTGTCTGAACCTCTGCTTCTGTCTGAACCTCTGCTCCGCTGCTTCTGTCTGAACCTCTGCTCCGCTGCTTCTGTCTGAACCTCTGCTTCTGTCTGAACCTCTGCTTCTGTCTGAACCTCTGCTCCGCTGCTTCTGTCTGAACCTCTGCTTCTGTCTGAACCTCTGCTCCGCTGCTTCTGTCTGAACCTCTGCTCCGCTGCTTCTGTCTGAACCTCTGCTCTGCTGCTTCTGTCTGAACCTCTGCTTCTGTCTGAACCTCTGCTGTCCTGACAGGTGACCTGGAGAGCCGAGCTGTGATCCGAGAGCCCGCCACACTCGTCATAACCAACGCCACCAGGTCAGACACAGCCAAGTACCGCTGCGAGGTCACGGCTGCTGCTGATGTACGGACCTTCGATGAGATCGAGATCAACCTGGTGGTCAGAGGTATCCAGACGTTTTGTTCTCACCCTAAAAGGCAGAGCTGAGTGGCTGTAAAGTGACACCGTGCTCCGGGTCGCGCCGACCTCACTAGGATGGGTTCTGACCAGAACTGCCTGGCTGCAAAGGCGTGTTCTGGGCTATAAGAGGAAGGCTCTGAAACTGCATCTGTTCTGAGCTGCTGTGCTAAAGAAAGCAGGTGCTGCATGTTCTGGCACGGCCTGGAAACCGGGTTCAGTCCAGTGATCCAAAGGGTTTTGGTCTTTTTAAAGCTGCGGCCTGAACTTCAGGCCCAGTGATGCTCTCAGACTCTGCTCTGCTCTGACTCCTTCCATGTGTCGCTGCAGTGAAGCCGGTGGTGCCAAAGTGCAGCGTTCCGAAGTCGGTGCCTTTTGGGAAGTCGGCCGAGCTCAGCTGCGTGGAGGAGGAGGGCTTCCCCAAGTCTCAGTACCAGTGGTTCAAGAACGGCGAGGAGATTCCAGACGACCCCAAGACCAGCCTCAAATTCTTCAACTCCTCCTACACGCTCAACGCAGGAACAGGAACTCTGGTCAGTATGCATGGGGGGCGGGGCAGCGGGGGAGGGGCAGATATTTTAGGGACACAGTGGAGACGGGAATCTGCTGTCCTCTGTGGCGCATTCCTCATTTCTGGGTTCGCTTCCAGCTTCATCCACGAGGTGAGACGGCAGCACAGGGAGCGGCTCTGCTCCGAGAACCGCAGACCAACCCGCCGCTCCTTCAGCTGAGACGCAGCGCTCTGTCCTGAGCTCTACGCTGACGGTCAGCAGAGCTCTGCTGGCCGCTCTGAAGCTGTTTTTACTTCAGGTTCTGCTGGTTCTGTCCGTTTGCTCATAGAATCAGAACCCCACGTCCACCGCTTCCTGTTTCTGCTCATCATCACTTCATTCCTTCAAGCCAAATGTTTCAGAATTAGATAAAAAAAGTAGGAAAATATTCAAACCCTGTTTTTTAAATTCACAATTTTTCTACAGTAAGGATATTTCTGGATAGGAGCAAAACAATCCAGGTGATGACACACCGGTCTTACCGTCGACCAATAGAACGGCTTGAATCAATATGAATTAAATACAAAGGTAAAGAAAAGGTGGTAAAATAAAAACACGAAACACATTTTTTGGTACATTTATAGTTTATTTATTGGTCAAGTTGTATATTTCCACTTTTATTTCTAATTCTGTCAGTTTTCAGCCTCCGTAGATTCAGAGCAGCTTTAGTCAAACATGCCTTCCTGAAAGGTAGCCGATCACAGGCGCCTTCAGACTCGTATATGTTTGACATCAGGAAGAGTTAATGAGCGTCTGTATGAAGTAAAGCTGCTTATAGGAGGATATATTGCGTGTGTGAACTTTGTCTCATCAGTCGGAACGACTGGAAAAGAGGAAACTGTTCCCACTGGAGGAAACGTTTTTCAGAAGAAAAGCATCTTTTCCTTATTGGGTTTTGGCAGGGAGTACCTGGGCCTTCAGTGGGCTTCCTCAGCTCAATCTACTTATCCCTCGATGTACAAATAAATATACACATTATTTGTTCTGGCCATATATATTTTTTTTAGTCCAGATCAGAGGTCACGGACTAGTGGACCGCGGTCCAGATCCGGATCCACCTGCTGGCTCATCCGGACCCAACCTGATTTAAAACATTTATAAATGACCTTATTTTGTACAATGGCAGTGTCTTTATTTCACTTGTACCGCTTCTCCTGTTTGTACAGTAACGCCCTCCGGCTACAGGCTGCACGTGATCCAGATTAGCCAATGAGTTGTCAGTCTGGGTTGCTGCTGCTGCTACTTTTAGACACAGCAGGCAAACCTGTGGCAAGCCGGGCGATGGGAAAGAAGGAGAAGACGATGAGAAAAAGAGAGCAGAGAAAGGGTGGACTGCTGGAAGAACTGCGGTGAACTGGTGAAAGAAAAGTGAAATGGCGTGCTCAAAGATGACCCTGCACATTTAGAGGATGTTTGGCTCAACCTGCTGCTGTGAAGCAGGATTCTCCACCATGAACAGAATCAACAATAAATCTGGATCCAGGCTCAAAATGAGCTCCTTGATATGTGCTTGAGAATGGCTTAGTCTCCATTCAAAGCCAGGTTTAAAGCCTTGCAGGGCAGCCTAAAGCCCACTGCCAACATTAAGACAGAAAAAAGAAAGAAAATAACAAACGATCAGTTCAGGTGTTTGAGAAATTATGGGAATGAGGAAATAGTCTATAAACCAAACTGAAAGATTGTTTTCTACCTCAAAACAAACACTTCAGATTTTAAAATGGAAAAGTGTTCTATTTTTAACTGGTGACCCCTGCTCTAGATGAATCTCACTGTAATCTTGGAATTAATCCAGATTAAAATTGCTCAAATGAATTCTGCCAAAGGCATTCATGATATGTGTGTGTGCTACCTAATTAATAAGTCAAAGTAAGTCTTTGAACAGGTTTCTTAAGCCAGGTGGTGCGTTGGAGCAGGGGTTCATCTCCTGTTCCCAAAATGCATCACAAACTGCTCAGACTTGGACAACTTTTATTGTCATTTTGTATAAACAGAGTGTATACCTAACAAAACACACTTTCAGACAGTAAATAAGCAGCAGCTTATCAGTGAAATTAACATTTCTGTTCATTAAAGTGCAGCAGTGATCAAATATAAACAGTTTGGGAGGAAAAAAAACATGGTTTAAAACAAAAAACCCGCATGAGAGATGATTTAGAGATTTCTCAACATTCATCAGTGTGATGGCGGTGGGGAAGAAGCTGCTGCAGAACCTGCTGGTCCTGCATTGAATGCTGTGAAGCCTCTTCCCAGAGGGCAGCAGGGAGAACAGTCCATGGTGGGGGGGTGAGGGGTCATTGATGATGGTACGGGCTCGGGACACGCAGCGCTGGGATGAGATGTCTTTAATGGAGGGAAGAGGAGCCCCCATGATCCTCTCTGCTGTTCTCACCTTCTTCCAGTCTGAGGCGCTGCAGCCTCCACACCACACAGTGAGACAGCTGCTCAGAACGCTCTCTATGGAGCTTCTGGAGAAGGTGGGGAGGATGGGGGGGCAGGTGGGCTCTCCTCATCCTCTGCAGGAAGTCCAAGCGCTCCTGTCCCCTTTGGACCAGTGAGGCTGTGTTTCCAGTCCAGGTGAGGGTGTCTCTGATGAATGTGGTGCTGCTGACCACCTCTACAGCTGAGCTGATGATGAGCAGTGGAGCGTGGTTAGGACGGTTCTTCCTGAAGTCCACCATTATCTCCTTGGTCTTCTGCACCTTCAGGATCAGGCTGTTATCTCTGCTCCACCAGCTGCTCCACCTCCTCTCTGTAGTCCAGGTCGTTGTCGTCTCTGATGAGGCCCACCACCGTGGTGTCGTCTGCAAACTTCACCATGTGATTGGTGGTGAACCTGGGGACGCAGTCGTGCATTTAAAGCTGAACTGAAGTCCAGGAACAGCATCTGCAGCATCTGTGGCTGTTCTTCTCCTCCAGGTGTGCCAGGCTCAGGTGGAGAGCAGCAGAGATGGCGTCCTCAGTAGAGTGGTTCCATCAGTAGGCGAACTGGAACGGGTGGAATGTTGCCGGCAGACTGGAGACGATGTGTTCTTTAAGCAGCCTTTGGAAGCACTTCATCCTGATGGGAGTCACTAGTCACTGAGTGAGGTGACCTGAGGCTTCTTTGGAACCAGAATAATGGTGGCAGACTTAAAGCATGCTGGCACTATGGATCGGTCCAGCCAGGTGTTAAAAATGTCTGTGCTTCAGAAAGCTTTTCTAAAATGACTGGTGATGAAATACAATAGGTCATGATGAACTGTTTACAGTCAGCAGCTTTTTGTCAGTTGCTCCAAGCTCTATTTCTCTTTTTTCCACCAGTCGCTCAGGACTTTAGGATAATACTAAAATCTGTCTTTAAAATGTCTCTTGATGTGAAGGAGGTGAGGTTTTTAAAAATGTATCATGGCTCTAGCTGTAGAAATGAAACAGGCTCTTAACAAAAACCACAGAAGCTACATTTTTAAAAAGCGTCCCACTTTTCCCGCCTTCACCAGAGCTCAGATTTCCCTCCTCTTCTGCAGAGATTCAGCGCCGTCAGGAAAGAAGATGCCGGAGAATATTTCTGCCGGGCCAAGAACGACGCGGGACACGCCCAGTGCCCCCCCCAGAAGATGGAAGTGTGTAAGTGTCTCCTCCGTCAGCAGCTCTCAGCTCAGCAGGCGTTGATCTTCTGACCGCTGGCTCTGCCCTGCAGATGACATAGACGTGGTGGGGATCGTACTGGGAGTGCTGGTGGTGGTGGTGGTGCTCCTTTGCATAACGGTGGGAATCTGCTGCGCCTACAAACAGGGATACTTCTCCAGCCAGAAACAGCCAGGAAGCAGGTAGGAAACCAGTCTGCCTCCCAGTAAGGCCCACAGAGCCGCACTGGAATAACTCTGCTCTCTGTTCCCAGTTACAAAGTTCCCTCCAAAGGAGACGGAGTGGACTACGTCCGGACCGAGGACGAGGTCAGTACTGCCTCATGGGACCTCACAGTTCGCTGTAGCCGGTCTGAGTTTCAGAACAGCAGCTGGTTCTGGTCTGGGTGACCCGTTAGGAGCTGATGATGAACCCACAGAACCGTTTAGTGAAGCAGAGGTTCTGGCTCAGAACATGACGAGTCCTGTCCTCTCTGCAGGGGGATTTCCGACACAAATCATCGTTTGTGATCTGATGACGGAGCGAGGACGGCGAGCCCGACCCGACCCGGTCCGACCCGCCGCGCTGCTGGACCTCAGAGTTCACAGCAGGACTCAAACCCAAACACTCAAACTTGCCAAAGGTGACGGACAAGATGTACACCGAGGTTCACCTGCTTTGCTTGGTTCTGATCCGTTTCTCAGCCTGCTGGTTCTGGTCGGTTCCTCAGCCTGCTGGTTCTGATCCGTTCCTCAGCCTGCTGGTTCTGATCCGTTTCTCAGCCTGCTGGTTCTGGTCGGTTCCTCAGCCTGCTGGTTCTGATCCGTTCCTCAGCCTACTGGTTCTGGAAGAGGTGGATCTCTGTCCTCTTTCTCCTGGAAACTCAGCTTTGCTCGTTTCTTTGTTTTCTACGGTTGAATACTATTTTTGATGGAAAATATTTTAATGCTTTTAGATCAAAGTTTACTTTTTTAAATATTTGTAAAATACTAACATGTTTAGTTTAGTTTTGGTTTGATCAGTTTTCCCCTTTTAGTAGAAACGGACTGAAAGCGGTTCTGTTCAGAAGTGTCCTTCTCGGCCTCCTGGTTTCTCAGTTAACCTTCCGGAACCGGTCGACCCGGTCGGCTCACTGGGTCCTGGTTCTGTAGCAGGAACGGAGCAGCCCGCTGTGACCCGATGGGGTCTGGAAGGATAACGACTGTAAATAGATGTTTGATTCTTTCTTCTTCTTCGTGCTCCAGATGATGTAAAGCAGAGCGGCGTGTTTGAGGCAGCATGAAACTCTTTCCATTAGTGAGGCTGAGCAGGAAGACGTTTCCTCTGACCTTAAAGGATCAGACTGAGCTGATCTTCTGCTGCAGATCAGAGAACCAGCAGCGTGTAGAGATGTAGAGCCAGCTTCAGTCATGGTAGAGCCGATGTGCCCACAGGTCTGCAGCCCCTGCTTCCTCTGGAGTCCTTCCTTCCCTTCCTTGTTTCCTCTGTGACCTTCCATACCTCCTTGTTTCATTCGTGATCTTCCATGCTTCCTGAGTGTCTTTGTGACCTTCCTTCCCTCCCAGGTTCCTCTGTGTCCTTCCATACCTCCTTGTTTCATTTGTGACCTTCCTTGCCTCCTCATGTCTTTTTTTGCCTCCTCGTTTCCTCCGTGTCCTTCCTTGTTTCCTGGGTTCCTTTGTGTCCTTCCTTGCCTCCTTGTTTCCTCCGTGTCCTTCCTTGTTTCCTGGGTTCCTCCGCGACCTTCCATGCCTCCTTGCTTCCTCTGTGCCCTTCCTTCCCTCCTGGGTTTCTTCGTGTCCTTCCTTCCTTGTTTCCTCTATGTCCTTCCTTGCCTCCTTGTTTCCTTTGTGCCCTTCCTTCCCTCCTGGGTTTCTTTGTGTCCTTCCTTCCCTCCTGGGTTTCTTCGTGTCCTTCCTTCCTTGTTTCCTCTATGTCCTTCCTTGCCTCCTTGTTTCCTTTGTGCCCTTCCTTCCCTCCTTGCTTCCTCTGTGCCCTTCCTTCCCTCCTGGGTTTCTTCGTGTCCTTCCTTCCTTGTTTCCTCTATGTCCTTCCTTGCCTCCTTGTTTCCTTTGTGCCCTTCCTTCCCTCCTGGGTTTCTTTGTGTCCTTCCTTCCCTCCTGGGTTTCTTCGTGTCCTTCCTTCCTTGTTTCCTCTATGTCCTTCCTTGCCTCCTTGTTTCCTTTGTGCCCTTCCTTCCCTCCTGGGTTTCTTTGTGTCCTTCCTTCCCTCCTGGGTTTCTTCGTGTCCTTCCTTCCTTGTTTCCTCTATGTCCTTCCTTGCCTCCTTGTTTCCTTTGTGCCCTTCCTTCCCTCCTTGCTTCCTCTGTGCCCTTCCTTCCCTCCTGGGTTTCTTCGTGTCCTTCCTTCCTTGTTTCCTCTATGTCCTTCCTTGCCTCCTTGTTTCCTTTGTGCCCTTCCTTCCCTCCTGGGTTTCTTTGTGTCCTTCCTTCCCTCCTGGGTTTCTTCGTGTCCTTCCTTCCCTCCTGGGTTTCTTCGTGTCCTTCCTTCCTTGTTTCCTCTATGTCCTTCCTTGCCTCCTTGTTTCCTTTGTGCCCTTCCTTCCCTCCTTGCTTCCTCTGTGCCCTTCCTTCCCTCCTGGGTTTCTTCGTGTCCTTCCTTCCTTGTTTCCTCTATGTCCTTCCTTGCCATCTCGCTTCCTTCGTACCCTTCCTTGCCTCCTCGCTTCCTTCGTACCCTTCCTTCCCTCCTTGTTTCCTAGGTTCCTTGCTCAGTAGAAATGTCTCCATCGCTTCCTGCTCTTCAGCGTTTGTTGTTTTCTGAGGAAGGTCAAAGATGGCGACCTTTGGCTGGTTGATACTCAGAGGTTCTGGAATCTTCAGAGGTTGAAGGACAGATGAATCTTTGGGATGCTTGGTGCAGACCTCTTCTCTCCATTTGTAAAAAGTTCATTCCTCTTAAGTGCCTTCTGGTCTCAGAGGACACCAGTGAAGGTGTCTCCAGAGGCTCCTCCCCCAGTTCTCCCCCCACAAACATGGCGTTTGAGAGGAATGATATTTCTGATCATCTCTGTCCTCCTCTTTACATATCTGATCATTTGTAAATATGTTTTCATAGGTTGGCAGATATAGAACTGTTCAAGTAGAAGTTGAGTGATGTTAGTGCCTCCATCTATCTACCTATCTATCTAGTAGGACGTGTTTTTGGTGATGACACTTAAAGCAGAGACTCTGGTTGAGCTCCAGCAGAGCGCCTCCATCCCTGCAGCCATGAAGCAGCTGCAGTTTTCAGATGGTGGAGGAGCTTTTCTGGAAGAGGAGCTGCTGGGTCGCTTTGTTCATTTTAGAGCAAACTGTTTGTGTTGAATAAAACTGACTCCTTCTGAACATCTGCATGGCTCGGACTCTCCTTCCTTCACCTTTAACCCACCAGAGCATGATGCTGCCACTGCCGTGTTTATCATGGGAGCTTTTCCTCAGAGGGTGGATGGGTCTGCTTCATCATCTCTGCAGACTACAGGAATTATTTCCTATTTGAGATGTTGTGGATTTATATTCATAACTAATTCCCATCCAGGTTGGATGCCACATTAATGTTATATAATTACTGTTATATTCTATTCCCAGCCATCTGGGAATTTATATTTCTGATACTTTAAGATGTTAATTGCCCTCCCCAGTGGGGTGGGGGAGGGAGCTAAATATATTATTTAATCAGATATTATTTCGGCTGTTATATACTGTTTATGACACACAGTCCTACTAACTGTGTGTTAGAACAATAAATGAAAGAGTGATTCGAGATAAGATTTTATTAACAAAAATCATTCAGCTCCAAGTCAAACATATTTTAGTTAAAAACTCTTGACTAAAACTATTGAAACTCAACTAAACTAAACTAACTACTATGTACAAAGAGGAAGGGGAACATGGTTGAAAACCATATTACAGTTTAAGATGGATTTTGTGTTTGAAACCAAAGTTTATCTGGATTTTGGGATATGATCAAATTAGCTTTTCACTCATTTAGAGAAATTGGAATGTTTTCAGACCAATTCACAATGCAAATCCATGAGGTGAATAAAACATTATTTGGCCAAATAATGTTTTATTGAATGATTTGCTTAATCAAGAACCAATAACCTTTAGTTAATGATTATTTACTCTCTTTGAAATAGCTAGCAGCGAATAGACATCAGGATTCCACTAAATGACTCTTGGTCATACTTGCTAATGGAAATGTAATGAGCATCAGAGGAACACATGAACACTAATGTTATATCAGTGTTTAACCCTTAGTGAAATAAAGCTTGTCCAAGCTGCAACAACAGCTCAACACATATTACTGTAGCATAGCATAGCATGCAGTCCATCCTGTTAGCTTTGTCTTTACTCATCAGTAAACATATGAAATGTTCAACATCATCAAAGGATATTGTTTGTTCTGTCCCTAATCATGCCACACCAGCAAACCTTTTTGTCCATGTCCATTGGAAGGCTTGGGTTTCATCCAGCAGCAGCTCAGCAGTCAGGCTATAGCAAGGCAGAGGTTGCTTTGTCTCAGTGGCTCACACCAGGGAGATGCTTAGGAGGCCTTCTCATCCAGTCTGGCTCTGTAAGTTCTGAAACTCAAGAGAAATGTGGTGCAAAAGGTCTGTTTTGCATAAGTTTGGTTCTGAAAGGTAACTATGATGACTTGTCCTTGATCTTGGTCTTTTTGCCTGGATCTCCATTTTTGCTGCCTCTTCTGACCTGCACCGAGGGATGGGAATCGAAAACCAGTTCCTGTTCAGAACCGGTTCTGTGTGTTCCAATTCCATGGTACCGTTTGGAAGCCCGCATAACGATTCTCTTAACGATTCTAGGAAGCACCAGAGCTACTCTGGGCAGCACAACTTGCGTCACGTTTTTTAAGCATGTTATGCACACGGCATTCAGTAAGCAAATACAGGCGTAAGTCTACAAAAGTGGTTAAAGCAATCGAAAATTTTGGCTTCATTTTAAGGAAGTGAAAGATGGCAACAAGGCGCTTTGTAATCATTGCAAAGTGGCAATTACATCCCCCGGAGGAAATACATCAAACATGCAGAAACACCTGCAAACACAACATGGCATACATTTTAACGAATGTCGTGTTTTTGATGCTTCCAGACAGAAACTAAAGTTACGACCAGCATGGAAGGCAACTCTGGTGGTAAGTAGCTAGTTTTATATCACTGGCTGTGCTTAAGGTGGTTCCTAGTAAATCAGATGCAATTTCTGGACATAAACCAATTTCCTAGCTCTCTTTGGGGTTATTAAACAGTTCAGGAAGCGAAAGAAAAGAGGAGAGGAGTTTATGTCCCGAAATTGTACAGTAATGCTTTTTCATTAAACGGATGCCTTTTCCTCTAGATTTACAGGTGCTGGTCATAAAATTAGAATATCATGAAAAAGTAGATTGATTTCAGTAATTCCATTTAAAAAGTGAAACTTGTATATTATATTCATACATTACATACAAACTCATATATTTCAGATGTTTATTTTGTTTAATTTTGATGATTACAAATGACAACAAATGAAAATCTCAAATTCATCATATCAGAAAATTAGAATATTGTGAAAAGGTTCAAAATTGATGGCCCCTGGTGCCACACTCTAATCAGCTAATTAACTCAAACCACCTGCAAAAGCCTTTAAATTGTCTTTCAGTCTAGTTCTATAGGCTACACAATCATGGGGAAGACTGCTGACTTGACAGTTGTCCAAAAGACGACCATCGACACCTTGCACAAGGAGGGCAAGACACAAAAGGTCATCGCTAAAGAGGCTGGCTGTTCACAGAGCTCAGTGTCCAAGCACATTAATAGAGAGGCGAAGGGAAGGAAAAGATGTGGTCGAAAAAAGTGTACAAGCAAGAGAGATAACCGCACCCTGGAGAGGATTGTGAAACAAAACCCATTCAAAAATGTGGGGGAGATTCACAAAGAGTGGACTGCAGCTGGAGTGAGTGCTTCAAGAACCACCACACACAGACGTATGAAAGACATGGGTTTCTGCTGTCGCATTCCTTGTGTCAAGCCACTCTTGAACCACAGACAGCGTCAGAAGCGTCTTGCCTGGGCTAAAGAGAAACAGGACTGGACTGCTGGTGAGTGGTCCAAAGTCATGTTCTCTGATGAAAGTAAATTTTGCATTTCCTTTGGAAATCAAGGTCCCAGAGTCTGGAGGAAAAGAAGAGAGGCACTTCATCCACGTTGCTTGAAGTCCAGTGTAAAGTTTCCACAGTCAGTGATGGTTTGGGGTGCCATGTCATCTGCTGGTGTTGGTCCATTGTGTTTTCTGAGGTCCAGGGTCAACGCAGCCACATACCAGGAAGTTTTAGAGCACTTCATGCTTCCTGCAGCTGACCAACTTTTTGGAGATGCAGATTTCATTTTCCAACAGGACTTGGCACCTGCACACAGTGCCAAAGCTACCAGTACCTGGTTGAAGGACCATGGTATCCCTGTTCTTAATTGGCCAGCAAACTCTCCTGACCTTAACCCCATAGAAAATCTATGGGGTATTGTGAAGAAGAAGATGCAATACACCAGACCCAACAATTCAGAAGAGCTAAAAGCCACTATTAGAGCAACCTGGGCTATCATAACACCTGAGCAGTGCCACAGACTGATCGACTCCATGCCACGCCGCATTGCTGCAGTAATGCAGGCCAAAGGAGGCCCAACTAAATACTGAGTGCT